CCAAGGAGCCGGGGCTCGAACCGGCAACCTTCCAATTAGAAGATGAACTGACAACTCTTGAGCCACAATCGCTGCGGGTCACATGTTTGTGCATGTTGGAGGTGTTTGTTGTGATCAGCGCTGTTACTCAACAAAGTAATTATTGCACATATTACACAGAACACTTTTCTTTAAAGTAAAGCAGTACGTTACTTATTTACACCCAGGAGAAAGAAATTCGTTACATTATTTTCAAGTTTCTCCGTAGAATAAACTGAAACTCATCATTTAACACTATAAACCTGAGGCTTCAGCCCCACACCGACACGAAGCCGTTCCTGATGAGGACACACATCATCTTTCTGTTCAGGTATGAACACAGCGGTCGTCATGGTGATTCTACTGTAGAAGCATGAACGGGTAGAGGCTGCAGCCTGACTGCTCAACAGTTTGTTACCTGTTGAAGTTCAGGCTCTGGGTGCTGGGCTGAGGTCTGCACACACTCAGCTTTAGCATCACTCTGGGTTCTTGGCTAGCCTAGAGTTAGCATGCTGTCTGTGCAAAGAGCTGAAGTCTGTTAGCATCATAATGGAGCTGTTTCTGTCCTGGAGCAGTCTCCACTTTACCATCGTGCTCTCATCTTTTAATGCAATAAAAATAAAAGTCATGTCCCCACTGGAGACGGCACCACTGTTTTCCTCTGACACACAAACTGAAATCAGCTGATTGTAGCGAGGTTGCAAGACCCGATAAGCGTGATCGATAGGAACAAGGAATTGGACTACTGGGAACCAGTTCTCCTCCATTCCCATCCCTACGTTCAGGTCTTTTAATCAATAAATTTGACCTGTTAGTAAGTACTGCAGTATTGATAAGACAAACTGTGCTGCTATCAATATTTATTAATCATTAATTCATTGTACCAGATGTTAAAACTTTGAGAAACTCTGACAAAAAGGCAGCCTGAGCTCTCTGATCATGGCCGACAGGACAGGAAGGTAGGCAGGTTCGCTTTAATTCACTGCACGTAGCTAAATGCAGCCAATTCAATTTTATTTATATAGCGCCAAATCACAACAAAAGTCGCCTCAAGGCGCTTCATAGATACAGAGAAAAACCCAACAATCATATGACCCCC